GGGCAACGAGCCGAGCTCGTGGATTAAAGGGCATTGCCATCACTAGTTGCTCATGATATTTACCATGGTAGTTAATCCAGCTTGGCATCAAATGTATTGATAGATTTATTCTGAAGAAACATGTCTAATGATACTATGCTTTAAATTTATGTCAGGTAGTAATCTAGTGGTGGGGAGAATGTGACTCCTTTTGGTGATTGTAGTATTGGAAGTGGTGGGAATTTAGGTCATCTTGGCGATGATATTGTACAAATGATGATCCAAAATTACACAAATACTATTAATGGACATGGTGCTAGAAGTTAAAACAAGGATGGTGGTGTGAGTCCAGTGATGATTGTGGAAGAAAAGATTAATTCGATCGGAAATGAGGATAGAGTAGATAATTCTAGTCAAGTACGAAGCATTGAATGCACTGGATTTCCAAATATGGTCACCTACAATGTACGATTACTGTATTTCTACATTCAGATGAAGAGCGATTGTGACCTACTATTGGACAATTGCGATCAATAAAATGAAAAAAAAAATTATAATCAATAAATAATAAGTGACTTAAAAATATGTGATTTGTGATTATATTTGTAATTGTGACCTGTAATTTGTATTTTTCATGAGCAATATATAAATTGTGATCAATTAATTTTGATAATTTGTGAAGGTGAAATTAGTTGTCACTTATAAATTTTGTGATTTACAATCGAAAATAAATTTTGATAAATCAACTCGGTAATTTGATACCATAATAAGTATGACTTATAAATTTTGTAGTTTGCAATCGAAAAATAACTTGTGATCAATTAATTTGATAAATTGTGACCGTGAAATAAATTGTCGCCTATAAATTTTGTGATTTATGACCGAGAATAAATCGTGACAAATTAATTTGATAACTTATGATTGTGAAATAAATTAACACCTATGCATTTTGTAATTTGTGACAAGAAGTAAGTTATGTGAATATATATAATCAAATTTGTGTTAACAGTGACATGTGTAACCAAATATCTGTTAATCATGATTGTTTGTGACAAAACATGTTTATATTTAAAGCTTGTGACCATTTAGAGCGTTTGTATATAACTAAAATCACTGACTTGGGTTATCTGTGACTAGTTGGGACCATAATTGTATTCAATGTCACTGTTTGTGACCTTATCAGTCTAATTTGTGACTGTATATAACTAAGTCACTGTTAATTTGATTACATATAGTCACAATTAAGACAGATCAGGTCACAGACAATCAAAAATAAAGATAGATTTGATCTCAATCGATGACAATTAAGATAGATTTGGTCAAAAGGGCCAGCACAAATAAATTTGCGGACTAGCACCATAACATATATAGTCACAATTAACACAAGTTTGGTTACAACTTGTCACAATTAATAAATATTTGATCACAGTGGATCATCACAAATAAATCTACACTTACTACATACCAGCACTACAATATATACATCACAACACATACAGCAACAAACAAAAAATGGAAGGCAAAATTCTATTTTTTATACAAATAATGTCCTATTGCCATCACTAGCTGCTCGTGATGAGAGCAGTTAGTTCATAAGGGCTGGTAGATTTGACTTCCCGAAGGTGTAGGTTAAAGTAGATTAATTGCTCTTATATCAAATTGATGTAGGACGTCTATAATTTGACAATGAACAATTAGGAACTAGAAGAGAAAGGGGGTGCAAAAAAAAAGAAGAATTGAGAGCAAGAGGAAAATCAATTTTTAATCATATAATCCGGTTGTGAATTACAATGAATAAGACATCTATTTATAAGGTAATAAATTCAAAGAAGTTAAATAAGAAACAAACTCTTAATAATATTAAATTTTTTTACTTGTGATCGCGAAAAATTTCGTGATCTATAAAGTTTTTCAATTTGTGATTTAGAAATAATTTATGACCAATTAATTCGAAAATTATGACCAAATTGTATAGAATTGTAACCTTGGTATATTTAATTTATAAAATATATTTCAATTAATTATTTCATAGATAAAATTTAATTAATATATGATTTTGGAAGTTTTATACCTTATTTCTTAGTTTTAAAATTAGTGATACGTAATCTCTTAGATATGAAAATTTTCATTATCTATATATCAGTAGATTTATTTTTTTATATGTTTATGCATGATGATGATTAATTTGAGCAAGCCAATTTTGAATTCTTTGTACTCGTTTGTCTTAATTGAATCGAATTGCCCATTGGAGTTTCAATGGACCCTAATATTATATTAAAATTTGAGTTCATCTTAAAAAAGGTTTATCTCATTAACAGCAATAATTCAAGGGTTTATATGTCGATTTATATTTTGATATTTAACCAATATGAAATATTTCTTAATACATTGCACATGTGCGCGATGCATATTGATATGTACATGGAGGCATCTGACATGGATGCATGGGGTCCTTCACTATCGAAGAATGACATACCGTGTCCCGCATTGTCTTGCTACGCTCAACCACAACGGGGCTAAGATTCCTAACCTTTACCAGGGAATTGTAGTGGGAATAAAATAGAGAATATGTTATTGCCTAGAACTAGACTGAAAATTATTTTCCTATTTCATTTTTATGTTCTTATATTTAAAGCATATTTTAAAATATATATAATATAAAAATAAATAGAGCGATGAATAGAGGTATTTACCTTGCCTCTTGAATATTCCTGGTGGGGCGGGGACTCTCCTATCCATCGCCATCCCTGACATGTTTAAAACCTCTTTTGTTTCTCTTTTTATTTATTATTTTTTACCTTCCCTTTTCTAATATATATATGTAATTGAACTTGAGGCTTTCCATTTCCAGTTTTCTATACATTCAACAGAGTTTGGTCAGTTATATTATTAAAAAAAAAAAAAAAGGTTGTGAAAACCGAACGTTATGGGTGTAAAAAAATGTACGATATAGCTTATTCTAATATAATTTTGCCTACCTCAAATGGAGATGTGCATTTTAACCTAGAACCCCATACTCGAGTCTGATTTTAGTTGAAAACTATTGTCCTCGATCTTATAATTGAGAATTGAACGTTTCCAATCTTGTGTATTTTGCATGGTCGAGAGTTTTATTATATAAAATATAAAGTGTGAACGTGGAATAAGAAAATTTTAGTAAAAGATGCAATGTTTATTCTCTGAAAATTTATTTTTTGAAGCATAGAATAATCGGGAATCAACCAATAAAATTTTCCAGAATGAAAATAAAAATGTAATCAACCAATAAAATTAGGGAAGCAATCAAATGTTGATATTAGGTGCATGTATCTTTACCTTCCATATATGTACTTGTTCACCCCCAACCCTCCACACCCCGTCGTATTTGCAGACAGCAGACTCTGACCCCTACCCTACACCCACGTAGAATTTACTGAAAACTGAAACCCCACACGCTCGACTTGACCCTACTCCATATTCATAGACTCTCCACAAATCATTTTCTTTACAAGAAAACAAGTTTATACATATCTTATTCCTCCCAAATAATATAAAAGTCTTAATCCCTTTCTAGTCATAGTTTAGCAGGATAGCCTTAGCCACTCCTTGTCTCACTTATTTTTCATCATTATCACTATCCATCAACCTCAAAATTTTCAACCCCACCCCATTACCACGCCCTGCTGGTCTTATTTTTCTGCTAAGCATTAAACAGAAAAATACTGTGTGAATATAGTGAATCTGAAAATTGATGGCCAGGAAAAAGATGTATTTTTTCCTTGCTTATCAGTGGTTTTCTCAAGGAAATGATTCTGTTCAATTGGGAGCGTGTTATTTTTTGGGTTATCTGTAGAGGGAAAGAAACTTTTTGGTGCTTAGTTTATGGATAAAGTTGAATACATTAGCTAAAAGAGAGTTTGGTTCTCCCTGGCTGCCCACAGGAAACTGCAAGAGACAGCCCACTTGTTCTTGAAATGATAGAGAACCTGAATATTTTGGAATAGAAAAATGAAAAATCAGAAGTTATTAGTTTTTTAGAGTCTGGCAGTTTTTTTTCATAAAGAAAAAATTGTATGATGAAGAAGACTAAGGAGGTATCAGTAGCAATAGCAGAATCGTCAATAAGCGAAGAGCCCCAGCAACAGAAGAGAAAGAGAGGGAGGCCTAGGAAAATTGTCGAGAAAATCGAGGAAATTAAAACAGCAGCAGCAGAATATGAAGATGTTTTAGAGGGTGAATCCAATAAAGCAGAAACTATTGAAAGAGAAGAAGAGAAAAAAGAAGAGTTGCAGATTGAAGAAACACAAGTGTCAAAGCAACAGCCTCCAAGCAGCAGCAGCAGCAGCAGAGCTAGGAGAAAAAGCAAGCCCAGAAAGAGCAGCTGAAGAAATTGAATTGGTACTTTCTTGCTCTTTTTATGGGTAGAAGCTAGAAAGAAAAATGACGCAAGAAATCTGGAGTCAAAAAATAGAATAGGTGATGAACAAATGAATGCCCTATTCTGCTCATCTTGTAACTTAATTGTTCTATGCTCAGATGTTGAAGAGGTACTATTCTTTTGATGGGTTTAGCATTTTTAATAGTCGAATCTGTGCATTTCTCTAATTTCCTTTGTGTTCTTCCACTCGTGTAATTTTGACTTTCAAAAGAGAGCATTTATTGACAACTATGCTTGTAGATGCATTCATTCAATAACCAGCAATGATACAGTATTCAATTCAACCCAAGAGAACAGTTTCTCATTCAGATGAATGTAATAAATCAGAACTTTGATCAATCCAGGTTGGCATTACTTTAGGCGTTCTCCTTCGGGGTTGTAAAGAAAAATATACCAAAGTTTACAGGGGAAGCATTATATAGAATGAACATCGCACTCCCCTTTACGCAAATGAAAGAAAAAAGAAGCCAACAAAACCGGTTATTAAAAGAAAAAAGAGGAAAAAGCGTAATATTTCAGACAAAATTGTAGGCTATTTGATATTGGTGAATACTTTCAAAACTCCTGTCAACTCTTCCACAAAGTGAACTTGAAAATACACCTGCTCAGCGGGTGGATTTGTGATGGCGCTCTTTCTTAAAACGTGACTGCTCAGGATCGAACCCACCTTCTTCGGCTCCATACACTGCCCATGATGGTGTCGAAGCCATATAATCCTTGCTGCTGAAAGGTTCTCCAGCCGCCACCTTTAGTTCAAAATGTGAAGATTCAGTAAAAAATGAACAAAAAGGCCTATGATACCACGTCTCATAAGAAAAGAAAAAAAAGAGACGAAGTCACCAACCAGGTCATGGAACTTGTCATAGTCTATCCAAGTGAACCATTGATCGTTAACTTTAAATTTGTTGACATTAGCCAGTAGAACACAACATGAGTGCACATGCTCGCAAGCAACCTCGTAAACCCCATTACTTTTTTGAGCCAACGCTTCTGAAAATTCTTTTACATCAGAATGCCAGGGTACATTCTCCATTGTTAATTTAGAAGTTGCTGACCTGTTACAGAGTTCTCCATGTTCTGTAATCAGAGCAAACATGAAGTGATATAAGTAAATGAAAAATGCAAAACTTACGATCCACAATATGTAACTCCTTTAATTTCAATAAAATCAGGATCTCCGATAACAAAGAGGTTAGAATAAGCATCTACATCCTCTGTGTTCCATCCTTTAACCAGGGTCAAGCGATAGACAGTTCGCTGCTGCTTCTCCTTGAGAGCTTGCAAAGAATCCTGGCATTATTTCAGAATAAGTCAAAATAGACTTGCTATGACAAATGTTCGACTAAAGTTGAGAGATCTGCAAACTTCAGAATGCAAACAGTAACTTAACAAGTCATGGGAATTATCCCCCGGCCACATACAAATTCATATGTGATGCAATTAAGAAAGCCATAATCACTAACATATAGCAACTACAAAATTCATGTTGAGACAGTGAACATAGTACAATGATGTGTAATAATAAACAAAGTAAAAACATGCACTCAGTGGAAAAAGAGAACTGGTAAGTTGATCGCTTCTTGTGGTAATAGCTACAAGGACCAAAATCATTTTACAGGAAATTTAGACCGTCATAAATATTTGTATGAACTAGAAAGTTCTAAACTTATCGTGGCCAAAAAGCAAAGATAGGGACATCTAGAGTTTCTTTTTTGACTGGCAGTTCACAGAAAGCACTTAAAGAGTATCACTATAACGGTGAAGTAATTGTAATGCTTACTCCATTTGCCCTCGGGCTCAGTAAAGAAATCATTTAAATAGTTACATATTAGTTTAGAAGAACATCGTTGCAAGTTGTCCAATTTTTATTTTTATATTTTTTTTTCCAACTATTTAACATTTCTTGATATCATTTAATGGTTTTCAATGGAAAAAAATGAACTAAATTAATTATAGTTTTAAATGCCTCACCCTCCTTTTGCTTCTAAGCAAGCGTCAATAAAGCCCAATAGTTTAAAAATAGAAAATAATAATAATAAGACAGAAATAACTGGGAAATTCTTCCTAATTAGGAAGCTACTTACAACAAATCGCTCCCAAAAGTCCCCGAAGAGTGGTCTATCAATTGCCTTCAAGCTATCCTTTGTTGCAGCATCTACACTAACATACAACTAGATGATACAAATAGAAACCAGTTAAACATTATATTCAAAACTATAATGCACTTTAAAGAATATATTAATCAGTAGTAAACTAATATTAATCAATAACAACATACTCCAAAAGTATGCAGACCTGCGTGATAGGTTTCAGCATCTTAATCCTATCAGGAAACTGAGCATTTGTTACGAGAAAAGTCGAGATTCGCCGCCGGTGCAACTCATCTACAAGTGAGTTAATCTCTGGGTACATGATAGGCTCACCAACAAGAGACAAGGCACAATGTCTTGGAGAAAGACCCTCTGACAATCGCTCTACTTTTACTCCTGCAGTCATAAATACCCCAAACAGTTATCAAACATGGCACAGCATATTGCCAACCTGCTCATTGCTCATAAGGTATAAAATATCATGACCAAAACAAAGCAAGCATACATCTCTCTCTCTCTCTCTCTTTTTATTTTTTTGGGTCCCTGATCCCAAATAGAACAAATAAGGGATCCCACTCAATTTGTAAAACATAGGTGTGAATCCTTTGTTTGTCAACCATTCTACCACATTATTTTTTCTACAGTACTTATTTTCAACCACACATTATTTATTAAAATAATATTACACATAAATAAAAAACTTTTAATTCTTTTTTAACCACACGTTTCAACATCAATCACTACTCCATAATACACTTTTTGAAATTAAAGAGGCACAAACAGGCCCTAAAAAATAACTGAAGAGAGATGTTCAATCAATATGAAGAAAAGAAGTAATTGACACGCTAGAGCATGTAAAATCTAATATGCTCCACCTATCCAACTCCACCTCACAGTATATAAGATCCCATTCCTGAAGGCTGAAATATTATTATTATTATTTTTTACTTCCCGATTTGCAGCTGTCTTCTCCTAGAATTCAACCCATTCCAGGACCTTAACACTTGTCCTCATGTACATTTAAATATGCAACAGTTATTCAACTGATCGTCTTCTAAAATGTCCATAATACTTAGAGTGCTCTTGATTGCCAATATTTTCCATGAAAATGTCATTTTTTCACCCAAATTCTTACTTTTGTGCTGTTTGATTGATATTTTTTCCATGAAAAATAATTTTTAACTTTTGGTTACGTGATCATATTTTCTTTGAAAACAAGGAAAATATGTTTTTTAGGAGCAGTAATTTTTTATTTTCCAATTAATTCATTATCCATTTCTCCCTCATCCACTCCCTGTCTCTCCCATCTATCTACCAATTAAAAAGGGACAAGTATAACATTTTCTAGATTAAAAATAAAATCAATCAAATACATTTAATTGACAATTTCCATATAAATTTTATGTTTGTAATCAAACACACCTTAATGAATTTTGTTTCTCCTGTTCCACTACATATGACTGTCTAACCTACTAGACCATTCACTTCCAAAACAATTTTCATTGTGAGCAAGGTCATTTGCTTGATTAAAAAGCCTAAGGCCCTTGTTTGACCCACATTTTTTCAAAAAAATACATTTTTAAGTAGTTATTTGATATCATTTCAACCACACATTCTTCAATAAAATAATATTCCACGCAAATCCAAAACTTTTCTTTATTTTTTAACCACACATTTCCCATCAATTCACTATTCAAAAATGAATTCTTGTGAAAATAATGTGGCTCAAATAAAGGCTAAATAAATATAATAGTACATATGAAAATTCCCAAACCTACCTGGAACTCCTTTCATTTGCTTTATCATTTTCGTATGCAAATCAATGGCAGTATCGACAATAACTATTGGATCATCCATCTTCCACCGCCAGCTTTTCCCTACAGGATTTGTGTGATGTCTCCAACAAAAAACACATTTGTTTGCACATGCTAAACTTGGGGTTGCCTCCATGCACCTAGTGATATTCATGTACCCGCGTTAGAAATATGAAATAACGGCTAGGGAAATAACAATGATTAGAAATGATAGACCATTAATGGGAAAATGTACATCTCAGAAAACAAAATCTTTAGAGCTTACAAAACTTTTAAATGGTTAATGCTACATAGGTAATAATATAAGAAAAACTAATCTAAACCTGTGACTCTCGATGCCATAAAATGAGTGCTTATAGCAACCTCCACGTCCCCTAAGCTGAGACTTGGTCCATCTACAAAGTTTAACCCCACTATGGGAACCAATGATTTTATACCCCTGTAAAAATCATCTGATTAAAGACCAAATGATAACGTAAAATAAAAAGTGAATCAATCTATCAATTAGATCAAGAAAATTGAGATGCAGCAGTTTATCAATAACTCATGATTATGAATCACATAAACAAAACTGAAAAGAACCATATTCCGACTTTTATCTGGAGAATAGCGAACAATATTTTCCATCGAATAAATGATAGATCCAGACGCCATAAACAATAATTCTTTGGAATAAGCATGAGTAATCAGATGACATAGAGAAAACTGACTGGCTGACGACTGCAATTTAAGGACAATGTGTTAAACACAACAGTTGTTTTCAATATACCCAAAAAAACTTTACATCTAACATTCTAGCGTATAATCAAAGAGGTAAAAAGTAAAAACAAATAATCAGTGAATGCAGAACAACAGTTAACACATTCAGACTTTCTAATTCATTAGAAACGGTTATTTCAAAAACTCAAAAACTCTACCTGCTTCACTAAACTTGCCCGAATCACTGGGGTCACCATTTCTTTCCCTCCATTCAGTACTTCTCCATTCTCAACTTTTCCATTAGTTTTAGGTCCCACAATCGACTTTCGTGATGGAGCTTTCCCCACTATATCCTCTAAATCAACAATACCATTATCTCCCTCCCCATCCTCCTCCTCGTCTTCCTCCTCACTAAACTCAACTTCACCTTCACTTTCATTCCCAACCCCATAATTCCCATTAAGGGCTTTATTTTCTCCTAAATTGCCCTTCAAAATCCCAACAATTCTCTCACTCCACCTCTCAAACACCTCATCCAAATTACCTTCATCAACGTCCCCCTCCCCCAAATCCACCAAATCCGCTGCCCCAAGCTTCCGTAATTTAACAGAAATGTCCCTCGCCACAGCATTAAAGGTCTCCCCATAACTACTACTCCCGATCCCAAAAACTGCAAATTTACAGTTCCTAAGCAGAAGCGCCCCGACTCTGAAATCATCAGCACTCTCGGCTAACCAATTTACCAAAAAGTTTCCATTTTCAGGGGATCCACCATTTTCCCAAGTAGAAGCAACAATCAAGACCAATGTTTCTTTACATATATCCTCAGGTTCATAATCCTGGGGGTCAACAAGATCAAAGTCGAGGTCATTAAGCAATAAATTCGCGTGGAGGCGTTGGGCTAGGGTTTTGGAAGTGTTGGTTTGAGAAATGAAGAAAAGTTTGCCTTTGTTGAAACTCGAATTAGGGTTTTGGCCGGAGGGTTTATTGAGGGTTTGGCGGAGGCGCGTCAGGAGGCGGCTGTAGCGGTGGCGAGATTTGTAGAGGAAGTAGAGAGTGGCTGTGGCGGAGAGGACGGTGAGGAGCTTGAGGTGCGTAGGTGGAGATGAGAGGGACATAGTAGGATTTGATGAGAAAGGCCGGGGGTTTAAGGGAAATTATGGGAGAGTTTGATGCTTCATAGGAGGGATTTTAGGTGCCATGGCTCTTTTCGAATCTCTTCTTCCACGCGTGAGATATAGGATGCGTTTCTTCTTTTAGGCCCCGTTTGATTGCACAAAATTTTCCATGGAACTTGGAATTCGAATTCTAACTTCCACTTTTGGCCTGTTTGATTGACAAAATTTTCCAGGGAATTGATTTTCCATGAATTTCTAGGTACAACACCTTAAAGCGTGATTTTCCACCTTTTTTTTCCTAGGGGATAGGTGGTTTTTGGTTTTCCACCTTTTTTTTTCTTTTTTTTTTGCTTTTTTTATTTATTTTTTAATTGTTGGCAATAGGAACAAATTTTAGGAATAATTGTAAAAGAGGATATCCCTGAAATTGACAATTTTCACGTAAAACAAAGTCAAACGAACATCAAAAAATACTTTTACTTCAACATTTTTCACGTGAAAAATTTATACAATCAAACACAATAATTTACAATTTCCATGAAAACAATTTCTAGGTAATTCAATTCCTTGGAATTCATTTTCTTTCCATGTAATTTTCCTACTTGTAATCAAACGCACCCTTAATTTTTTTGGATCATACTACATGTACACAATATTTTACACAATCTTTTACACACTATTCACAACATAAAGTGGGAACCACAGCTCGAATTATTTAATAACAAGTGAGACCCGCATGTTTGTGAGGGGGTGTAAATCATTTGGTAACCCCCTTGTGTGTACATACATCTTTATCCTAATTTTTTTGGGTTTGGTTCATTGCAACTATAATCGCATTATACTATGTACAAGTCGTGTTTTACCTTTATCAGTCAAAATTTCTTGTATCTTCACTGTAAACGCATTTTATATTTGATCTTTTCCGTGGTTTAGATCCGGAGATTATTAAAAAGATTTCAACCTCCCTTCTTCAGTATATTTTTTACCGTAACGATATGAATTCCATATCTATCATAACCACGAAACTTCAATAGAAAATCGTCGATATTCAAATACACAAGCTTGTACTAAGGATACGGAATTTTTTTTTTTTTTTTTTTTTTTTCTATTTGATGAAATAAAGTAAGAGATACATGATCATCTTTGCTGCTACAAAAATGATTTCCCCTTTTCTCCAGATGTCAACAATCACACTCAACAACTTAGTATACTATGTTGCGAAATATGTCAGTATTCTGCTTCTGTCAAAAAATAAAGATTTTCGGGTCCAACCCTGCTTATAGTAGTATCTCTATTAACTAGATGCTGGTTCAGCAATGTCATCAAAACTTTCCCTTTAAGAGGTAACAGAAAATTTTGAGAACACAGACCAAACAAATGTTGAATATTTGTTCAAAATCAATGGAATGATAATGGACTAATTGTTGGGCTCAACTGTGGAATTGGTAGAACCAAAAGAAATTGAAAAATGAAAATTTTTATTTTTTGCCTATGCGTAAGCACAAGCTTATTCTTGTGCGTACGCGAGATGTATTTTGGCAGAATTAAAGTTTGCTTCTACTATGCGTACACACAGTTTATACTATGCGTACACACGGTGTTAAAAAATAGTCGTTGGCTGATTTTTCAATTTGAAACTTCGGAGCCGTTTTGAATTAAAATTGCCATTTTTCATCTTATTTTGGCACCATTTCGTGATGCATTGATTTAGACCTATAAATAGGTGATGAATGATCAATACAAATATTAATTAGAATCATTGAAAACATCTTGAGATCCATATATCATTTCATATTGAATCAAACTATTGATTTACATTCATATTCAAGATCTTCCTTTGTGTTCTTAAAGTTTTGGAGGATTGCACTTTTGCTTTGGTGTTAAATTCTTTACAAGGCTTGATATAATCCTACAAACCGTTTGTCAAAACCCTTAAACATCTCATTCAATCTCGAGAGGGGGCAAATATAGTTTGAGGACAACGATCCCGTGTTCAAGCCTCAAATTCGTTTTTGACGTATTTCGTGATTTGTATTCATTTTGTTTCTATAATTTTGTTGTTGTTTCTTCTCCAGCCTTGTTCTTTCTTCTCCAACCCCTTATTTTTCAACAATCTCAAACTATATCCTGCGATGGAGAATGATACAATTATGCCAACCATCAAACTCATGAATCAAGATCTGGTTAGATTTGATCGTTTTGATGGGACTAACTTCACGCAGTGGCAAGACAAGTTGAAATTCCTCCTAACGGCGTTGAAGATTTTTTATATTTTTGATCTAGATTTAGCGCCTTTACCGGAACCAACGAATGGAGAATCCGAAGCAATCAAGACCGAAAGACAAAAATGCCAAGAAGATGGATTGATTTGCCGTGGCCACATCTTGAATGCATTGTCGGATCGTTTGTATGATCTATACACCAATACGACTTCGGCGAAAGAAATCTGGGAATCACTGGAGAGTAAGTACAAGGCGGAAGAAGAATGTACAAAGAAATTTTTGATTTCTAAATATTTTGATTTTAAATTCTTAGGAAATATCCCTCTTTTTCCCCAAGTGCATGAGTTGCAAGTGATTGTCAACAAATTAAAAGCGGTGAAAATTGATATACCGGAAACCTTTCAAGTGGGGGTTAAAATTGCCAAACTTCTCGAAACTTGGAAAGGATACCGGAAGAAGATCATGCATAGTTCTGAAAATTATTCTTTGAAACAATTGCAAAAGTATCTTCGAATCGAAGAGGATTCGAAAATACGTGATAAAACTGAAAATTCTCATGAGGGCTCTTCTAAAGCAAATGCTGTGGAAAAAATAGAACCGCCGGCAAAATCTAACAAAAGGAAGCCTTCTATGAACTTTAACAAGTTCAAGAAGAAGACAAAAGGAAGTTGCTTCGTGTGTGGAAAATCTGGTCACTATGTCAAGGATTGTAGGCATCGAAAACAAAATAACTTCAAGGCCAAAGTAAATTCCATCCAAGATGACAAAATTGTGGCCACCATAAGTGAAGTAAACACAATCAAAGGAAATGTTCCCTGGTGGTGGTATGATGCTTGTGCTACGGTACATATATCATATAATAAATCTTTGTTCAAAACTTATCAAAAAGTGGATGGAGAACAAGAGATTCAAATGAGTAACGAGATGCGGTCTAAGGTGTTTGGAAAAGGAAGTGTAGACATTATCTTCACTTCCGGGAAAACCATTACTCTAACTAATGTACTACATATTCCGGATATGAATAGGAACCTAGTTAGTGGCAATCTCTTGGAAAAATCGGGCATCAAATGTATTTATGAGTCTGGCAAACTTGTACTATCCCTTAATGGGAAGTTTGTTGGAAAAGGCTATTCGTGTGAAGGAATTGTCAAATTATGTACCGTTGACAATGAAATGAATAAAAGTAATTTTGCTTATGTTATGAATTTATTTTCATTATGGCATACTAGATTAGGTCATGTTGGTAGATATACAATGAAACACATGAAAAAATATGACTTGATCTCATATGATGAAAATTATTAACATAAATGCAAAATATGTGTAGAATCTAAACTGATTAAAAAACCATATCAAAGTGTTAAGGGAACCTCTACTATTTTAGAATTAATTCATACTGGTATATGTGAACTTAATGGTATATTAACTAGAGGTGGAAATAAATATTTTATAACTTTTATAGATGACTTTTCTAGATATACTTATGTTTATTTGATAAAACATAAAAGTGAAGCATTCGACATGTTTAAGACATACAAGAATGAGGTTGAAAATTATCTAGAAAAGAAAATTAAAATTTTAAGGAGTGTAGAGGTGGTGAATACTTTTTCAATGATTTTAATTTGTTTTGTGAACAACATGAAATTATTCATCAATGTTCTGCACCCAGGACACCCAAACAAAACGGCTTGACTGAAAGAAAAAATAAAATATTTGTATAAATGATAAATGTCATGCTTATTCATGCTAAATTGTCATTTAACTTGTGGGGTGAAACTTTATTAAGTGCATGTAGAATACTTAATAGGATTCCTTCAAAATATGCTAAGGTTTCTCCTTATGAATTGTGGAAAGGAAGAAAATCGAACATTGGATCTTCAAAGTGTGGGTGTCTTGGCTATTGCAAGAACACGAATCCGAATAGGACCAAATTGGGTCCAAGAGGCATTAAATATGCCTTTGTTGGATATGCAAACAATAGCAAATCTTATAGATTACTAAATTTGGAGTCAAATGTGATTATCAAATCCAACAATGTGGAGTTCTTTGAGGATTCGTTATCTTCGGATAATGAATTGAGGGAAAATCTTGAAAATATCCCTAACTCATGTGGAACACATGATGAAATATCTTCTAAGGATGTTGATGAATCTAGTGAACCATGAAGAAGCAAGCGAATTCGAGTTGAGAAGTTTTTGGGATCGGATGAAATTGATTTTCAACTTATCTCCTTTTACTTAGTAGAGGGAAATGAGTTGAATGTTGTGAGAACAATTCCTTTTTTTCTACAAGTAGAAATGGACCCTAAGACTTATAAAGAAGTTATGGCTTCTCGTGATAGCACATTTTGGAAAGATGCAATTAAGGACGAAATGGATTCGATAATGTCCAATAATACTTGGGAGCTTGTTGATTTACCACCGGGATCCAAGCCTATTGGATGCAAATGGGTATTTAGGATAAAATACAATGTTGATGGATCCTTAAACACCTTCAAGTCTAGATTAGTAGTCAAAAGATATCGACAAAAGGAAGGAATCGACTATTTTGATACTTATGCATCGGTAGCTAGAATAACATCGATTAGGATATTATTCGCTTTGGCTTCAATATATAACTTGCATGTTCATCAAATGGATGTCAAGACGGAATTCCTAAACGGAGATCTCGATGAGGAGGTCTATATTGAACAACCCGAAGGGTTTGCCCTACCTAGAAATGAACATAAAGTGTGAAAGTTGGAGAAATCTTTATATGGTCTGAAGCAAGCACCAAAGAAATGGCATGAGAAGTTTAACTTAACAATAATATCATTCGAGTTTAAACATAATAGCATTGATAAATGTTTATATTCTAAAGTTTGTGATGATTATATGACATTT